ATTTTTATTATACAACAGATGAAGACTTAAACCAACAGATAATGACCTCGTACTAACATCCCTTAGAAGTAACTACTTGAAGTGGTTGCTAACAGGCTTAAACATTTGCGACTTTTAATCATTGTGTCCCAGTGTGGTGAGAGCTGTCTGCTATCCAAAATTGGTAGATAGCAATCTACGTGAATGTTTACGTCCCAAATCTTGGTCATGAGAAAAAAACAAGAACAAAGACTTAGCGTAGGCTGATACGATTCGCAGATATATGGTCTGATCATCAAGCAAACGGCCACAAAGAGGTGACAGATTAACTTTCAGAGAGAAAACAACCAATCAGGAGACTCTGTTTCCCTGCTAACAATATCCTATAATAATGTACATAAAAGTCTATAAATATCTGATGATTTTGTCAATAAACGATCTGTTGCCTTGTCCTTATCTTTTGTCGTTACACCAGGATTAGAAAGCATCTCACCTACTGCAGTCTAGCATCTGGATAATACCATCAGAAAGGAAAATGCTGAGTAATGTTCAGTAATTTATTTTTTGGTGACGAGGTTCATCAAAATTCGCACACCAGCAGTAATACATGATATTATGTGCAGCTTTTAAAACTGAAAAATTATGTTCGAAGACGGAACATTGTGAACGATTACACAGAAGTACAATATTAAAAATTACCAAAAGTCGTAAAATAACAAAAACAAAAGAAACCATTAACTGAAATAGAATAACAATAATAAGATAAAATACAGAAGTGTAAATGGGAGTGAGGTGATTTTTCAATGATTCCTTCTCTGAAGACTGACCTATGTTTGAAGCATTGACAACCTCCCAGAGTTTGTTTTAAGGAATTTGATTGTCTGAAATGTATCTATGGATTTATATGAGTAAAAGTATTTGACAGCTAACTGCTTTGTCCTGGTTTCCGACTCATGCGTAGTACGCAACCCCACAAGGGTTCAAACCCAGGATGCTGCGGCTACAAGGCAAAGTAGTTGACCATTCAACCACTGGAACTCTATCCAATGGCCAGTCGATGATTTCGAAAGTCTACTGATTCGTGATTTTAGCGCGGCTGGTACCAGCCAGTGTCATCGGTGACGAGTATTTATATACACTGCTCACTGCCTCTAGAAAGAGATACCTTCAGTAAATAGCTGAAATATCAGAAGCCCAATATTACTGGTTTATAATTGTGAAGTTCGCCTTTTTTAATTGCACATGGAACTAAACCCGGTCGGCAGTGAGGACAAATACTCGCCGCCGAAGACATTGGTAGAAGTTAGAATTCATGAGTACTTGAATAGGGTTCCAGTGGCTGAATGGTCTACGAGCTTTCATTTTAACAGGGAGGTCCTGGGTTCGAACCCCCCTGTGGTAGTTGCGTACTGCAGATGAGTCTCAAACTAGGACGAAACAGCTAGCTGTCCAGTACTCCGGTGCTGATTCTCTAATTCATATCGTTCCGTGAACAAACTTAAGAAAAAATAGACAGTCCGTTCGACATTTTTGATCATTCTACTCACGACTTTGTGACTAACTATGGAAATTGAATGAAATGCTTGAGAAATGTAAAGAAAAAGCTATTCTATGCCCGAATATCTCATTCGTTACACAAATGATGAAAGTATTAAATATTTCCTAGAGAAAAAAACAACAACAACAAATCTAGTATTGCCCACTTTCAAACATGATGGAAATGAACTAAGGGGGAAAATGTCAAAAACTGTATGTCTTATATCTAAGTAATCAGGGAATAATTCGAATAGAAATTTGAAAATCTCTTGCTGAGATACACATCCATAATAAAGTGTACCATTTGTTCACAATTGTATTGAACACCACTAGAAAGTACACTGCTGTCTATTATAATTTTTAAAAAAATAGGAAGATAAACACGTTGCCCTACTACTGGATTCTGCATATTCTTCTGTCATTTCGTCAAAATGATTAACGCTTATGATTTACATATGTCATACAGAGGTGTAAGAAACAATAAAAGGAAATCCTGGGAAATATTTAAATGAATCAATGTTTATTATTACAAAATAATACACTATAAAGAAAATACTATTTGGAGAAAAATTTCTAGTTTACGAACAAAAAAATACTATCAGAACTGAAAGAATAATTATGATAATGCGTTGACGCATAATGAGATTAAGCACCCGATTTTCATTCTTCCTTTAATTTTGTATTCTTTTGATTCCTAAGTGGAACATCAGTTTTAACGTTCCAGTAGCCTTAATGCTGCTTGCTTTTACGGGGTCAGGTTGATAGCCTCACACCTCCAACCTTCTTTCTTCAACGGGCTTAATATTGATTGAGTAAACGAGATTAAGGATAGTGTCGACCGAGGACCACGTGATGTGTGGTTCGTGATGTACTCTCTACCACTGAACTACTGACGCAGAGGGTTAGTGCATAGTAAACAGGAAAATTGGAACTGTGTTCAATCAGTTGAAATACAAGTATGCTTATATAAATCATACAGTGAGCGGAAATGGTACTCAAAATAAGGAAACAAGGATAGTTAGAAAAGAGGGGGGAAATCCTGTTGTGTCTTAGGTCTTAGCATCTATGTTTGCGGTTAGACATCGTCCGTCATATCCTACAGCTATACATGATAAATATAAGCAACACATTATAACAGAATACATTGTATCAACAATTGACCAATTTCGTGTGACTGACTGGATTCAACATAGAACTATTTTGCACACATGTACACCAGTTCAACTCGACACACTCTAACTGGATTCAACATAGAACTTGCCACCGAAGTGCAGCAGTTCCAGTTGCCACGTTCCAAATACCACACAAAGGTAGACAAGAAAGTGAGTGAAGAGAATCAATAGAGTTTTGACAAGTATAAGAGTGAAACAGAATGAGTAATGGTAGAAAGGAATATGAAAGATTACAGAGACTAAATACATCTGCGTAAGCCATTGACAACGATTTTGAGCCATGTCACCTAGTGTCTCCAGCCTTCATTGATTCTTAGAGTCCCGAGGGCGGGCCCCAACCCGGAAGTCTGCATCTCCCTACCTGACTCAGTTTAACTGTCAAGGACCTCATGGATTGATGAGGCCATATTTTTGTTTGGCCACCACTTACTCTTTTCCAACCTGCACCAATATCAGCTAGTAATGCCCGTCCGTAGGGGGAGGCGATGGTTAGGCATGCGCAGGACGTGACCTAGCCATCTCAATCTATGTAACTTTATAGCCTCTTCGATTGATTTTCCCTCCTTGCCCAACACTCTACGCCTAACGTCAACATTACTTACCTTATTATACCACCTAACGTGAGAAAGAGATCGTAAACACCTATGATCAAAAGCAGACAACATTTTCATGTCTTCAACTCGTATTGGCCATGTTTCAGAGCCATAGAGAAGGACGGAGCGAATTGCTGAGCAGTACACACGTCCCTTGGTTGATAGCCCGATGAAACGCCTACACCAGAGATGGTGTAAGTTAGCGAAAGCAGCCCGAGCTTTTTGGATCCGTGCTGAGGTTTAATCCCCAATCAATCCGTTGGTGCTGATACAACTTCCCAAACAGGTGAAGTGGTCAACATGTTCTGTCACTTCACTCCCTATCACTAAGCTAGGAGTTGACATAGCCCAGTCCTGTAGCAGCATCTTACATTTTACAGGGGCGAATCGCATGCCAAACATACGAAGATTGCTGCTCAAGGTGTTCAGAAGACTGCATTTTGTCAGCATCCTTCCCTAACAGGACACACTCGACACACTCCCTCCTTCTACCACACGAACCAACAGAGCAAACTAAACACAGATTCAAAACAGAGATAATACACCGAAGTGTGAGTGAGGCAAAACGAATATTAATGTGAAAGAACAATAGAGTTTTATTGCATATGACAAATCACTCACAAAGAGTGATGAATGCATCTACGCATTCATCGAGAACGACGACTTTCAGCCACATCACCAATTGTCTATCTTCACACCCACCATTGGTTGTTACCGTTCGGAGGACTCCAACCAGCCAGCTAGCCATCCAGTGTACACCTCCTTATGTGGCTGACTAGCTGGCTGGCTCAAACTAACTCTCATGAGACTGATGAAGCCATGTTTCCATTTCACCCCACCACTAGGGGCTTTTCTTCAACTTGGTCCGTCGTTGAGAAAGGCCTTGGATGGCTAAACATGAATGGCGTAAAACATACCCTAACCATCTCACTCAACCAATCCAGCTGCTTCACAGATTCTCCCTCCTCACCAACCACTCAACCGAAGCCTAACCGCAATATTACTCAATCTACCACACCTAGCACCACCTGATCAAAGAGAGCTAACCAGCCTTTTCATGACCATGTCTCATAGACATAAAGAGATTCATTGAAAATCTTTTTTGAATTATCTAATGTAAAAGCGCAGTGTTGTTACACACCAACCAAACAACTTGTCCATACATTTTGCAATGACACACAATTTTTGTCTAAAACATGTAATCAATCATAGTAAACAGACTGTCTCTCAGGACCAATTCAAACACAATTCAAACATATGACTCATTATTATTTGAAATTAAAGTGTGACAGATGCAGGAAATAGAGAAAACAAAGATCTTTTTAAGTAATAATAATAATAAACTCTGCACTAAAATGTATAAATTATACTGAGAAGTGTCCCATAAGCACTGCAATTTGAAACCGAGAGAGAATGAATTACAGAGAAGTGTATAGGCGAACCGATGAGACAACAGTATGTCTATATAAATAAATATACTAGTAGTGAATTTCCTAATTAACAGAGATTGACTGATTGACTGATAGACAATAAAAGAATTACTTGAGTAGATGTAAAAAACTGTCATATATATATGGAGATGAATGATGACGATGATGTCTACACTGCTTAAAATATGCGTGAGTGTACACTCCACACATAGTGTGTGTGGAGAAAATCCAATAGAAGGAAGAGATAGATATACAGCATTAAATGATACATTAATGTAGAATTAACTCACTTTTACTTTGATGTAATGATCCATTTTGATTGGATTTGGAATTGTTATTATTACTATTATTATTACTATTTTCAACACCATTAGTTTTATCTGTAGACGACTTAACAACACTTGATGAGGTAGTCTTATCTTCAACAATTTCTGATGACTGATGATGATGAAGGTTATTATTATTATTATTATTCAATAGAGTATTGCCTTGTATTGCTTGTGAAGGTGACGATGAAATGAAACTGCTTGCTGGTAAGGTTAATCTTGTCTTAGGATCAGCTAATAGTAAATAGATTGCTGTAACATTATTGAAACTTTGTTTTACTAAAGCTTCACGTACATCCTCAGGACGATAACCCATAATACGCATAATTTCTAAAATACAATAAACAATTATAAATAAAACAACAGTAAAATCAGCAGAGAGAATTCAACGGTTGTTATATCAATTTAGAAAAAAACTTTTCCAGGGATAACTTCTTATCATTAATCACAATAATGAGGACTTCATCACGTGGTCAGGTATGACGACGAGAAAAGAGAGATGCTGTACTGCCTGCAGAAAATGATCAATATAAGCAGCATCTTTTCTCTTATTTGCATTTCTGGCTGTCTGTCTGTTTTCAACATAGAACTTTGCATCGATGTGCAGTAGCCCAAGTCGCCACACTCCATCCATGTAGCACACAAAACGAGAGAAGAAAGTAGAAAGAAATGCAAAATAGATACAGTAAACAGGGATATGAGACAAAAGAAATAGTAATAACGAAGAACAATATAGTTTCATTGGGTATTATAAGTCACAAGGAGTGGATGCATCTGCGACAGCCATTCACAACGATTTTGAGCCATATCGCCGATTGGGTTCAGCCTTCATTGGTTTTTACGGTCCCGAGGACCCCAACCAGTCAGGAAGCCAGTCTACACCTTCCTCCATGACTGGTTGGTATAAACTAACTGTTGTGGATTTCACTGGCTGATAAGGCCATGTTTTGGTTTGACCATCACTAGCTAACTCTTTTCCAGCCTGACCCTATGTCAACTAACATTGCTCTTCGTCGAGGAAGGCGATGACTAGACATACGTAACACAGCCTCGTCAATTGATTTCCCCTCCCACCTACCTAGCACTCGACCCACGCCTAACCTCAATATTGCTCACCCTGTCATACCACCACCTTAAACAGGAGATAGAACGCAGGCGACTATGATCAAAGACAGTTAGTCAATTCATGTCTTCCACTCTCAATGACCAGGTTTTATTTGCATAGAATTTGTCTAAAAATTCTTTAGATGATTAAACACTGACATTTAACATCAGCTTAACCTACTGTCTTCTTCTTCTTCTGCATTTCTGTCGAGAATCTCAACGAAACATATCGAGCATCATAAGCAGTTGTGTCAAAGACTGACTGAGTTCCAGTATAAGACTTTGCACAGAAGTGGACCACTTCAAGTTGCCACACTCCATATAGCACACAAAAGCAGAAAGCGAGAGAGAGAAAGAACTATATAATAAACGAAAATGTGTAGGATAAAGACTGGTGGTGACATGGAAACACTTGAGAATTTGATGAATCTAAAAGACATTACAAGGAGTGAACACATCGATAACGAGGATTTTGAGCTATATCACCGATAGTCTCTCCAACCATTGATTATTGCCATCCCGAGGAAATCAACCAGACATTCCACAACTACCAACGTTGCTCAAATCGACTGTAAAAAACTTCAAGCATTGATGGCGAGTTTTCGTCCGACTACCTACGCTTAACGTTTTTCCAACATAGTCCTATGTAAGCTAACACTGTCCGCCTGGTTCTTACCTAGCACATTGAGTATAACCTCAATACCACCCAACATATTATACCATTTAACCAAAAAAATCATAATTACAGATAGGAATAAACAATGGTGAACAAATAAGCCACACTACATTATTATTTAGCTCGGTTACCCAGAAGATATACTTCATGCACAATCCTACGAGACATACTCGTTGTATGGGAAATAATAATACTACTCATTTATTATTATTTCCTTGGGTTCCTAGTGGCACATAGGGCGTCAACAACACATCTCCACTTTTTTGATTGGTCACTAGTCAGTAACTAGTATAATGTGTCTAGTCCTATCTGCGGTGCAGACTGAATTCTATCAGTCATCCCCACTTTGTTCTATTCGCTGCTATCCTCTTCAACTGGCTAGCCACACGATTGCCCATAATCTCTCATCTCTTCCTCGCCACACAATCTCCTCCATGTCACTCTCAAGGTGATGACCCACTCGTCGCTTCCCATTTGGATTCCACTCGAGTGATGGCCTGCATTGAGCGGTCTCCTCAATGTGTGCCCGATCAACCCATTTCCATTTTCCCCTACACATTTGTTAAGGAATCGTCTCATGGTTGGTTTGTTTCCAGCCAGCCAGGGTTTCTTGTTGTTAATTCTATCTGGTCAGGTTAAATCAAGTGGATCGGGCAGCTGTGAACCATAACCAAAACTCATTGGATGAAAGTTGAATGCTTAAGCCAAAAAGTCAATAAATAATAAGCTCAATTTAAAAAATATCATAATACTATTCAATTATTCAAAAGAAGAAAGAAAAAATTGAAGAAAGAAAGAAAAAAAATCACAAGCATTATCAGCTGACTGACTCTCTCTCTCTCTCTTTGACTTCTTTGCAACACAGTAAACAAAATCCACTTTCATGTTTATTAGCCGATCAAAATGACACAATGTTCAAAGGTAATGATGATAGTAATTATTGTAATTAGTCATTCTAAGATACTAGTTAATTGACAATATAATGTAAATGATGTAAATAGGTTGCTTTAAAGATTATCATCACATAAAAAATAAAAAAGGTAAAACATTTTATTCAACTACAAAACCGCTGTTCCCCTGGTACACATGTGTATGTAAATCATCCAAACTCTAATAGACTGACTGGCTCACTTTGCACAGAAGTAGAACAGTTTAAGTTATCAAACACTCCATGTAGCACACAAACGCAGAGAATATAGAGAGATTGAAAAGAAATATGGGGTGGGAAAGTAGGAGGATACGAGAGACTATAAATAGTAAATGTAACTCTGCGTCTCCAGTGAGAATAGTTTCCAGCCCTCACTGGTTCTTACCATCTCGAGGATCCCAATCAGGCGGTCTACAATCCCCTCCCCCATGACTATCTCATATTAATCGATTATTGATCCTATATTTTGATTTGACCACGTCTAAACTCTCTTTCACAACTTAAACTCATGTCAGCTAACATAGCTCGACAAAGAAGGCATTGATTGGCTCAGCATGTGCAACACATAAACACTAATAGAGTTATTTCATTCAATTTCAGATTTTCCCATCGATTAATTGAACCAAAGAGCTCGATCTCAGGTTGATATGTCGGCTCCTTGTGCAGATGCTTCGACGACGTCTGGGCATGTAATTAGAAGTTAATTCGGGGATGGTGACTAGCAGTGGAATCCAGGACAACACGCATTTCGTCCTATTTGGGACTCGTCATCCGGATGTACCTGAATTCCGCAGCGAGTGGTGATGTTCCCACCGCGGCCCGAACCCAGTGTCCATAGTTTCAAACCTGAGACTGGGCACTTCAGTTCAATCAATCGACAGGAAAATCTAAAATTGAATTAAATAATCAATATGACTCGTTGCACAAGAGGTGGTTCTCGTGGCCCAAGTGGTCTAGTGGATGACGCTTTGGAGTTTGAAACTCTAGGCACTGGGTCCGATTCTCGGTGGGAACATCATCACTTACTGCGGAATGCAGATACATCCAGATGACGAGTCCCAAATCTTTGACTGTCAATCTCCATGTCTAACTAACTAACAAACATAAAGGAGGACGGACTCACCAACCACGCATGTAGTCTGGTTTTCTATCCCCAAACCTCAGTTAGCTGTTAGTAGACTCGGCAAAGAGGGAGAGCTTAGTATGAGGCTAACAGCCCCAACCCAGTAAAAATAAAACCACTACTTATGAAATTTCAACGAATAAAATCCACGAAAAAAGTGATAAAAGCAACAAGAACAAAGCATACACACACACACACTCGCACACAAGATAAACTTAAATAACTTACCTAATCTTTCTTTATCATTGTAATCAGGCGGCGGTTCAACATACGGTTTTAAAATATTATCTTCATAGCCAATATTTAACCACTTATCAGACATAACATTCTACAAAAATGTGAATAAAAAAAAATAATAAAATTAATGCATGAGTAACAACAGTGGCTAAAAGAAAAAATTGTCATTATTATTATGATCATCATCATCATCAATGTTAGATGAATCGATGTGTAAGATTTCAACTATAAATTTATCTAACAAGAATTGCATTTAGAGATGTTTGATGTCAATCAAGGAGACCAGAAAAGACCAACGGACATAACTTTAACATTGTTTCACTTTAATATAACAACACTCAAAGAAAGAGGAAAGAAGTGGGGAGGGGGATACTGTAACAGGAAAAAATGAGACTCTTTGCACAACGATTCGTAAGAAGTATGCTGTGTTAACAATGGAGTCCAACTGAGTTGCGTTAGCAACCAATGAAAAATGTGTTAAATCCACTGTGAAACTAGTGGAGAAGACCGTACATATAAAAAAATTACATATTTAATCATCAAGTGTTGATCTGCAGAAATTCGATTGATTACACAGGAGTCAGACAAGGGTGCTTATTATCACCAATGATATTCCTAAATGTGGTAGACTCGATTATGAGTCAGACAGTGGGAAACGAGAAGACAGGGATATCCTGGACCGATGTGAAGAACCTAGAAGACCTGGAATTCGCGCGTGGATGATTTATGTTTGATGTCACACAAAATCGAAGACTTACAAGCGAAAACCGACAAACTGGTCGAAGAAGCAGCAAAGACAGGACTGACTCCAGGTGAACATAGACAAGACGGAGGTTATGAAAATAACCAACCAACAACAACAACAGCAACATCCAGCGCCAATCACCATCAACGGGAGGGATTTGAAAGAGGTTACTTCATTCACTTATCTAGGGAGCATTGTCTCAACTACAGGAGGAACGGACGAGCATGTCAAATCGAGCGAGAATCGGGAAGGCGAGAAACACATTCATCAACCTGAAACAACCAATCTGGAAATCTTCGTCACTCAGCCTGCATCAACAACAAAGTGATTCGGATTTTCAATACAAACGTCAAGTCAGTCAGTTCTTCTATACGGATCAGAAACTTGGCGGCGGGTCACAAAGAATATTTCCAACAGCCTGTTGCAGACCTTTATCAACAACTGTCTTCGTTCTATACTGAAGATCAGATGGCCGGAAAGAACAAGAACCAACAAGAAACTATGGGAATAAACAAAACAAACAAGAACCAATCGTCCAACAAATATGCAGGAGAAAGTGGAGATGTATTGGACACTCGCTGAGGAGGCCGTTGGGTGACATCGCGCGTCAGGCCATAGCTCGAGTGGAACCCGAAAGGGAATCGGCGAGTGGGACGTCCAAGGGTAACATGGAGGAGATCGTGTGAAGAGGAATTGAAACAGTATGGATTAACATGGACGCAGGTGAAAAGTACAGCAGATGACAGGAGCTAGTGGAGACGTGCAGTTGAAGTCCTCTGTTCCACTAGGAACCCAAGGGAATAATAATAACAATACAGATTTGATTACGAGCTGACATCCGTTAGAGAACCATTGGAGAAAAAAACCCCAGGAAGTGGTGGGCAACTGTTTCATCCTAGTTGGTGACTATTCATCGGTACGCAACCAAACACCAGGCTTCGAATCTAGAACTTCCAGGTTACAAGGCAAGCTCTCGTAGGCCATTCAACCACTCAGATCTGATCCAGTAGCCTCACTAGATAAAGTCTACTTGTAATTATTCACCATACCTCTAACCTTTCTTCCTGTCTATTATTCTCATATCATGAAAAGCAACAGAAGAAATGGTTACGGTTATACCTATAATGCGAAAACTGCAACAAATACAACTGGTCAATAACTTTCTCCTTATTAGACAAGGGGTTATTATTGAATTTCCAAAAATCGATGTGACAATAAGACTTGAAAGAATTAACAAAATTCCTCCAGTCAACAGCAACGTACAGTCAAGACATTAAACTGTGGTGAGAGATGGTTGCTAGCCAAATTGGTTGACAGTAATTGAGGTCAATGTTAGTCATGTGAAAACAAGGTCAAGATGGACAGGCGGATACAGTTAACATATAGATGAACTGACACAGCCACAAGAGATGCAAGGTTAACTTTGTGTGAGAAACAACCAATCAACAGACTGTATTTTCTACTAACATTAACCTACAATAATGTACATCAAAATCTATAAATATGTGTTGATTTTCCGTAATAAACGTTCTGTTGCCTGGCCCTTGTCTTCTGTTGTTACAAAACCACTTATAAATAGGTATGTTACAGTGAAGATAAATACACCACTGAAAATACGTTCACCACTTCATCTGTAATGACAACATAGATCAGTCGATGAGACTGCGAAGTTACATCGAATCAGATGGTTAGGACATGTGTTACGCATGCTACCCTGGCCGTCGATCACCTTCCTCGATGATGGGCAATGTTAGCTGACTGACGTAGGATGAATCCGATTGGAAAAGAGCTAGCTGGTGGTAGTGAAACCAAAACCAACATGGCTTTATCAGTCAATGAAAACCACAAGAGTTTGTTTAAGCCAGCCACACAGGAATGTGTAAACTTCCTAGCTTGCTGTTGGAAGCTAGAGACAAATCCTCGTTCTCAATGAATAATAGCACAGATGCATCCACTCCTTGTGATTTATCATATCCAATAAAACTATACTGTTCTTCCATATTACTATACTTTTTGCGTTATATTTCTGTTTATTATTCTCTCTCACTATTCTGAATCTTTGTTTACTCTATTCTCTTGCTTGCATTGGGTGTAGTGACTCGAACTGGTGCACATCTGTACAAAGTCAGCCCAATGACAACACAGTGATGCTTACGTCTTCCTCAACAGATGTCTTGAATAAACAAATCAAAATATCACATAAAATACAATACAATTCAATGAAGTTAATTGGTGGAATCCAGGATGCCCATTTCGTCCCATTTGGGACTCGTCATCTGGATGTACCTGCACTCCCCAAATTAAATTCAATGAAGTGTTTAAAAGTTCAGTAAACTATGAGTCCAAAATAACCAGTGTGACTAGTTAGTACTTATTTTTTTTCATCAATGGAATATATAACTAGGGGGGACTAAAGTGTACGCAAATAATGAGATCAATTGCAACTGATATAATGATAAATGCCCCTATAGATAATAGTTAATAAGAAAAAAAATACAACTGTAACCGATTTCTCCACAGTTCAGACACATTTCAATAGGATACAAAGATACTAGGTAAAAACTTATTAATAACATTATAGTGATATACTATATAAAAGGCTGAAAGTATTGTGCTCAAGTTGACACTGATAACTAGATAACATCACACAATAGTGAACCAGATAGGATACACAGTTGTTGTTTTTCTTATCGACTCTATATGTCAATCTTCAAAATAAAATAATCTTTCAAAATGTTAAATATTGTATACTAACTAACTCGTTATCTTTCATCAGAGTAAATTGTTTCCAATTTTACTGAAACAATAAAGTATATTTTTATATATAGACAGAGAGAAAAAAAGGTGATAGACCCCATCTGTACATAATAAAATACCATCTGAATAAGCACTATGACATTTCAGGTTAATTCCTAATCTCTCTTTCCTCATAAACTTAATCTGACGATAATCCATAAGATAAACTTGCAGAGGTAAAACAAAAATGATAAAACGAAAGAACCATGAAATATTTTGTATACAACGAGAGAGAGACAGACAGACAGACAGACAGAGATAGAGGTTGAAGGAACGCATCTAATGTATACTTTGAAGAAGTTCAACAATAGCGTCTCAGGAGTACGAACGCTCTAATGATCTTGAACGCATGCTAGTCGTTGGCTGACGGCAGCTGTTATTATCATAGCTGAAATATTAACGATATTTGCCTACACCTAGGGGCAAATTTCACCCAGATCACGTTTTTAAGTACTGTTTGGACAATGTGTTAGTAGCTCGTTAGGGTTAGGATTAAGGTTAGTATAGGGGTTAGAGTTACGATCAGGGTTAGAATTATGGTTTGGATAAGGGTTATGATTTAGGTTAGGGTTACGATTAGGGATAGATTTAGAGTTGATGACATTTATTTTAATTTGTTTTCTTATCCACATTTTCCTGGTAAGCGGTCGTCGATCCTTTTACTGGATTTCGGGGGAAGACTGCACAGGAGGATAAGAGAGATAAACGATTCACAAAAAAAAGCTCATCTTCAGTCACATCGGTCAATACATATATAGAAACTATTCTAACTTAGCAATTGATACTCCTCATTATAACTGGGATGTATTTTTAAGTCATGTCACAGAAAAAGATACCCTGTGTAATGTGTTTTCATGCATTTTCTTGTAAATATACGTCATTTTTGTGCAAAAATTCCTCATTTTTATGATTGGTCAGCTAAAGGAGGATAATGGATAGTTAGTTCATCTTAATTCTGAAGTTATTTAAATCATTTCCGATCGAAGTTAAAGTTAAGGTCTTTCAAAAGTTGGCTTTGAAAAACCCATCAAATACAGGGAATGCTATGAAATAATGTCATTCCAAATCAAATCATGCCTGTCTTTTTTGGACTTGTTGCCGAGGGTAGATATAGTATCCCACTTATTTACTATATATATATATATATATATATATATATATATATATACAACCAGCATTAATCACCACCAACTGGACAGATTCAACAGAGGTTACTTCCTTCACTTTTCTGGACAGACAGTCGCCACGGATGAAGATATCAAAGCTGGCCAGTCAGAATCGGAAAGGCAAGGCAAGATACGCCTTCATCAACCTGAAACCAGTTTCGAAATCTTCTGCACTCACCCTCAGAATAAACAACAACATTCGGATTCTCAACACATATGTCAAATCAATCAGCCAGTCAATCAGTCCTTCTATACGGGTCAGAAACTTGGCTAGCGCGTCGCAGAAACCATTTCCAACAGGCCACAACAGACTTTTATCAACAACCACCTCCTTCGCTGGCTGGATACATACTGAAAATGAAATGGCCAGAAAAAATTAGTAAC